CACACAACAGTTTCTAACAAAGGAACTCATTTCACAGCAAAACAAATGCAATGCTAGTGTAATTTGAGTATACCGTTACTCAAAAATAGCTAGCTTGATAAACAGTGGAATGGCCTGATGAAGACAGCTATGGCACAGGCTAGGAAACAACACCCTCAAAAATTGGGGTTCCACCATAAAAGATGTGGTATATGCTTTATATCAGTGACCAAAACACAGTATTTCCAATATTGCCAGAAAACGTGAGTTTGGGAAGTGGTTCCTCTTATTAATGCCTAATAAATTGCCAAATTTTTGCTTTCTGCAACTTTGAGCTCTGCTGGTTTAGAGATCTTAGGTCCCAAGGATGTAATCTTTCCACAAAACACTGAGTTAGAATTTGAGAATGCCACCTGATCATTTTGTACTCCTCATGCTACTGAATCAACTAGCAAAGGAGGAGGTCCTAGCTGGACTGACTGGTCCTGATTACAAGAAAAAAAATGGGTTGCTGCTGCACAAAGACCTATTTTCTGGGGTATGTCCAATAATAAGAGTTAATGGGAAATCACAACCAATTTTATAAAGGCAGGTCCACTGCGGATTCTGACTTTTTGACAATGAGTATTTGAGATGTCCCACTATGTAAAGAAGCTTGACTATTTGAGGTACTGGCAGAGGGTATATAGAATAAATAGTGGAAGAAGAAAATGGTAAGTATCAACCATGGCCTTATGACCAGTACAGAAACAAGGACTGTAACAGCACATACAAGCATGGTCAAACACACATAAGCTTTTCTTTTTACAGTCTGCACATTGATCTTATCAACATAACCCTAGCAATGATATCACCATAACAATGGCACCTACTTTGTTTCAGAATCAGCTGTTGGTGTTAACTTCTAGCTTCCTTCAATATTTCAAAGTGAGTGCTTGCATCCTGTTAGAGGAGGAGTACCAGCTGAGCAGGACTGCTTTTTCATGTTTGGGACTAAGTTCCTAGCGCCCTTCCTCTGAACTTCAGAGTTCTATAAACCTTTCTATCCTCTTTTTTTTCTCCTCCAGTACTAGGAGTGACTTTGTGCTCTTCAGTGGCCATCAGGTGGCTCTTCTGGACAGTCCTGTCCTGGAGAAGGCCTACTGGAGTGGGCACCTTGTACTTGGCCTATATAGTCCCAATGTTGTCCAACCCATCTGGGCTTGGTGGTCCAACTGTTTCCTGTAGTCACTGTATTATATTTGGATTGTCTTAGCACATGCTTTATGCTCTTTCAACCTGCTCCACATCTGTGGAGCTGACTTCCTCGTGAGTTTCCTAATGCGCTTTTTTTTCCTTTACCAAATCCTAACTCTAGGAGACAGTTAAACATTTCTAATCAGAGCAGGTGTGTTTGTTAGGCACAAAGAGGGTTTTTTTGTTTTGTTTTGTTTTTTAACAATTACCACTTGAGAATTTTCTTTATATAAACTATAATTACTCTATTTCAAGATCAATAAAAAACAATGAATTCAGAGTTTTTCAGTACCAATCCAAAAGAAATGAGAGGAAGGCACAGACTAACAGTCAATGAATGAGCCTATCAGTTTTGACTAATGTTTAATGACATCCAAAGATTGCAGAGGAATCCAAAAAGAAGCATTTTTTAAACTTCTCATCTATAAAGACTACCATCCTATAATTTGACCTTCTCATTATTCTTTTCTAGTTAATAATTTTTAAAAAAAGACACTTATTAGTAAGGGAAACACTATGGAGAAATCTCTTTCAGACCTAAACTTCAACTAAAGGAATGTTTTTTTAATTGTACTTATTTCAATTTTTAAAAGTCCATCCTATGGTAAAATCTCTAGGTACCAAAAACAACAACAACAACAACAACAACAAAAGTGTTTTAAAGATAAACTTGTCTTCAGAAAAAAATACGACTTTTTTAAATGGACATAAGAGAAGAAAATAAAGAGACTAACTGGTCAAAATAGATATTTTCTAAAACAGAAAACCTCAACATCTATATATCCTGGAAGGAAAAGATCAAGGTCTGAAAACAAGGTTTTTCTTCTCTAAGTTTCATCAATGAATTAAACAGTGGGAAAAGAAATATACATGTGTTTTGGTCATAAAATAAATATGGGTTGATAAATACCACCCAGTTAGTCAATAAATAAAATAATGTTATTAATTCATAAAATTTTTAGAAAACATATTATCTGCTTTATACTATTATAAGTAATTCCTTAGCACTTCTTTTAACAATAACTATCTCCAAAAATAATTTTTTAAAAATGTCTGGACAATACACTAAATGAAATATACCAAGATGTAGTAAATGCACATGCACACATTTGTTCAATTCAAAACTTAAATGTGTTTGTGACTGATTGAATGTTTACATTTATGACTGCATGAGTTATACACTTTATAAATATGTTGTATATTAGCAGTATATTGTCTCGTGAAATAAGCCTTGGAGGATGAGGCAGAAGACTCGCTTATATTCCTGACTCCATCAACATCATGCTGTATCACCTGGGCCAAGTCACGTCATGACATACTCTACCTCTAAAGTGACTGTAAAACAAAGCTGTAGGAGAAAGATGTTCTATACATGTACTAAATCTCAACTTTTTTACCCAGAGGAAAAAAATCTTAAAGTTGTGATATGCCTGGCTTACTGACCTTCAAAAGGACAGGTCTAAAAGAAAGGGCATGACTTTTAAAATGAGACAATCTAGACTTCACCACCTACTATATACTTCTGACCTTGGGTGAGTCTATGTAAACTCTCCAACCTTGAGTTTCCTCATCTATGAAACATGAACATTTATCTCTTAAGGGTTGCAATGAGTATTAATTGATCAAAAAGACATTAATTACGTAGCACAATGCCTTAATAATTAAACAAATATTAGTTTCTTTACCTTGAATTTTATGGATACCCTAAAAACCATATTCCCACTTTTGAATTCATGCAAAATTCTAATTTCAAGAAAAGCCATTAAAGCACAGGGATCAGGCACTTCTCCCTCCGAAAATAATTCATCTTTAAAAATCTCTTTTTGGTAGCTCTTTTCCCTGTTAAGGTATAAATTGACAAGTTAAGAGTCAATTTTATTCACAAAGTACATTCAACTTCACTACAAAAAAAATCAAACATACAAAGCAAAGATCCTTTTAACTGCCTATATATACCATTCCTAACATCGTGTCTTCCACTTTCAGTATTAAGCCTATGTGAAAGTACAAAAAGCCCTCTTTCATTTTCCTCTGATCAGCAGACATACAAGAAGAATTTTTCAGTTACGTCAAATCCACAGTGATTTCAAAGTTAAAGAACAAAGTTAGGAAGGAAAATAGTTAAGAACTATTAATAGATACAATTGACTTTCCTCTGTGGACACATGATTCATTCCTTTAATTTAACAAGCAAACAAAACAAAAACTCAACCTGATAACCTGATGAAGGTTAAACCTCAAATAATATAGTAACCTTATTAAAAACCAATTCAGTACTGACTCTCTAGCTACCAAATATATTAAGCAAAAAACATCATCTGTGATAGGAGAGCTGAGATGTCTCCAGGGATGAGGGAATTTCTACAGTTCACCCATAGCAAATACTATTAATTTGAAGATATATCCAATATGTACTCAGAACCCAGCAGCTGAATCCACAAGGGTTTAGCAAGTAAAAATTTTGGCATAAAAAATGGAATAACATTTACTCAAGAAAAAAACAGGAGTCATATTTAGCAGTCTAAAATTCTATAAACCAAGAACAAAAAAGATCATGAAAGAAGTTCCTGTAATCATCTGGTTGGCTTTCTGGACAGGGTTTTAATAAAATTGAATGCTTCTGAACTAAAAAAAAAATGGACAACAAAAAATTTGGTACAGATTCTGAAAATCAGTCACATTTACTCTGGATGATACTCTTTCTGTCAGTTTAAAAAAATAGGTGGAGGATAGGTCTGTTTATCATTGCTTTCACCTAAAAACCATTAATCACCAAGGGTGGTATAAATACCAAAACAGAATTTTGCTTCCTTTCTAAATATACAGTTTCCTATAAAGTACAGCACATTTTGTAGGTTTTAATAGGTTTTTTTGATGTTTTTACAACAGTACTTTCTTCCTCTCCAAAACAACCTCACTCCTAGTCTGCTGTTCTGTTTGCCTCATCTGCACTTAGCAGATCATGCTTCAGTGACTTAGAAATCCCAGCCACCAAAATTGCAGCCAAAGTTTGAACTGAGAGGAGAGGGTGCGGGGGGGTGGGAAAATCAAGTAATTAAACTACACTTGGAAGAAAGAATGGTTTTACCTCCTATGACTTTATAGTGTGCTGTTTTAATCCAGAACCAGAGTCTCCAATTTTAAGGAGAGAAAAATATCGATTTATTTTTGACTTAAGGAATTATTTTGTAACTACTATAATTCTCCTAGCATCATCTTCCAATTGTACCTTCTGACAATGACACAAAACCACAGAGACCACTCCACATGTTAACACTGAATTTTTCAAGTTAAATAGTTCACTGTTAGGGAAGTTTCATTATTAAGGGATTACCCAAATTATTATAAGTTATTGTATACTTAATTTAGAAGCCAAAGAGAGAGGGAAAAATGGTAAGGTTGGAGATAACACCTGTTAAGCTAGATGATAACGGTGCTCTGGGGGTGAGTCATGTCTCCTTTTCTCACTACCAACAGTTTAAATTATTTGGTTCCTTCCATGTTATGAATTAGAAGATGACCTTGAAAAGCTTTCTTAAATACAAAATAAAACCACCTTTAAAAATGGTATATCACCCAATCTATAATAACATTGTACAATTAAAAGTTAGAGACTTTACAAAATTAAAATAACTAATAAAAACATCTGAAAGAACAGTAACTATATTAATGAACTTTGATCACCAAAGATCAAATGCTCTATCAATAAGTAAAACAAAAAAAATAATTGTCTCTTTTTTGCTTTGCTATATTCTCATCTTAACATTAAGCACCCTATAACATACCTTTGTAGAATGCCATTTTCCTGGGGTATTACACCATTGATAGCTGCCTGCAAACAAAAAACACAAGGCCATTTAAAGAGACAGAAAAATGCTTAAGGGTAGGGTAGAGTACAGAATACTCTGAAGGGAAATAAGTATACTTTGAAAATTTAAACAAAATACTAAGTGTTTCCTTAATGACACAAAATGTTTTCTATTAAATGCTTTTTTCTACTTCTCTATAAGAAAAGCGTATTTTAGAAATTTTAAAAAACATGCATTTGGCATACAATACCCCCAAATCTTGAGTCACAAAAGGCTTAAGTCCACAGTCCTCATTCAAGCAAAACAACCACAAAAACCAATGTTTAGGGGTGTCAGAACAAGTAAAATCATTACCTTAAAGTAATCTTTTTAACATTATTTCCTCCCTCAGATTGATAGGAACAGCAAGATGTAAAATCACAAATGAAAAACTCCAGTAAGAATTTAAAAATTAGCTCAGAAATGAAATTCATCCTTTCATGTTATAATCATCACTCTTAATAAAAAGGATATTTGGAAGGAAAAAATGAAGGGGCAAAAGTTCTTTGATAAATACAGCACCACAATTATATTAGGTTACAAGAAGACCAGGAACATTACTGAGGAAGTTTTCTTACATAAAACGTTCCTGAAGTTGGTCTCTAAGCTAAGAAGTCACCAATTACTTAGAACATAGTATAAACGTGACATGATATGGTCGTTTTGAAGGCTATTTAATACATCCTGGATTGTGAGCAGTTCACTGTAGGGTAACAGTAAAGATTCTCTAGAGGAGAAAAATGACCACTTCAACTTTGCCTCTGCATCGTAACAACTTCTTCCCTCCCCCTCCCAAATTAAAAAAAAAAAAAAGTTAACACTCCAATGTTTTATCAGCTGCCTGGAAATCAACTGCCAAAAGGAGTTTGTGTATTTTGTGAAACATTAACAAATATTTTCCAGTGTGAGTCAAGTTTACAATGTTATCCTGTTGAATGGAAATAAAGTAGTGTAAGATACCTGCTATGAATTTTCAAAGTTTTAATGCTACACTGGCAAAAAACAAAGAAACCCACAGATTAATATAGACAGTGGACACCATAGGACCCTGACAATTCTGAAGGCTCATAGATCCTTTGAGTCAAGCTAACGTTAAACTCAGTTTTCAAAGCCACAAGTTCAATGGAAGCATCTCTACCTAGTGCCAGGTAAATTATCCTTTTTCTGTTGACAGCAATGGTTCCACATACAAATATTTCCTTTGCTAAAAAATAGAAAACAGTAAGAGAATGTTCCATGATGTTGGAAAAAAACAAAATACCAGAGCTTGAAAAGATTTTGTTCACATTTTCACTATAGAATGTCAAGGTAAAATTAAAAGTACACTAAGGGTTTATAAAGTCCAAAGTTTGAATCTAGATTCTCCCACTTAATTAATTTGATGACCTTAGTCATATTCTATACTCACTGACCTCCTTGAGGCTCAGTTTCCTCATCTGTATAATGAGCTAATAATACTGTATCTTCAGCTAAATGGGCCTCACTTTTGTTCCACAAAGGCAGCAAGTTCTTCTTTCTCAGGGCCTTTGAAGATACTACATGTTTGAAATGCTCTTTCCCCATTCTTTGGTTAAATCTTAATCTTCATAGTTGACATTTCTGTTAGATACACTTTTTCAAAATATTCTTCTCTATCAACCCACCCCCCAACCTAAATAGGTTTACTCTCACATAGAACCCTAATTTCTCCTTCCTTGTAATTGATAATTACTTATTTGATGATTATTTATGCCTGCTTTCCCACTAGACTGTAAGCTCCCCAGTGGAAGGGATAATAACAATTTTGTTCACCACTTTATTCCCGTTGCCCAGCATAGTGCCGGTACATGAAAGGCACTCAAAATTAATTTTTTTAAATGAATGATGCTAGAGGAGTACAAAGAAAAGCCACATAAGCAAGATTTGAGTAAGGCCAAGAAAACATCCTGGATGAGATAATGTCTAACCTAAGACAAGAATAAGTGACAAGTAACAGGATGGGGGAGGTGGCAAGACTATACAGAAGGAACAGTAACACACCTCCACTTACAACCCTCTTCCTCTTCTAAGATTTTATATCATATTAAATAATATATTTGTTTTTGTGAACTGGGGAAGGGTGGAGACACTGGAAGCTACAGAATTAGTCACCCATGAGTTGGAAGACTGCTTGGAGACCGTAGGTGGCCGTGTAGGGGCAGGCATTATACGGTCTCTTTTCATCGAGATAGTGGAAAATCTTATACAGGAGAAAGAGGATTATTGAGAGGGTTAGCAAGGAGAGAGAGGGACTTAGGCGAGAAAAAGACACACTGTAGCATCACTTGGAGGAGCTGGGCAATAATCTATGGGATGCCATTAAGGAAGACAAACAGTTATTGAAAAGACAGGTCACACTCCTGGAACATTCCTTAGCAGCTGCAAGGGGAAAGGCAGCAGGAAAAGCCACATTGTAGGAGGCCGTGGGTGAAGGGGAAGAAAGAGTGGTGCCTTCAGCCCCAGAGATGGAGGACAAGCCAGGTGAAGAAGAGGAGGAGGAGTGGCCATGGGCCGATAAACCACCCCAAGTACCAGTCTGTCCTGTTTTAAAGGCCCAACTGGCTGTAATTAAGAAAATAAAAATGAAACAACTGTGGGCTACTCAGGGGGAAGAGCCACCTCCTCCCTAGGTTGTGGAGCACTCCATGCTCCGTCCCCATACCCAGGATGAGCTGGTGGACATGAGCATCCGGTATAGGCAGAGGCCATCGGAATCTCTGCCTACATGGCTTTAATGTCTCTGGGATATGGAGGTGGAAAACATTGTTATGTCAGGTACTGAGATGAGCAGAATGGCTTCCCTCTGGCAGCGGCTGCAAAATGCCCATCATGCCTCAGGGAATCAGACACTTCTGGAATGGCTGACAGCTGCCATCAGGGTAGTTTGGCCTAATCAGGGTGATTTACGTATTTACCCAGTAGTTGGAAAACATATGCAGAGTTCCAACAGGTACTGCAGGAATTGGGTATAAAAAATATGATCTATGATATGTACACCCAGGGCCCCAATGAGGTGTTCATTGTAGGAATAAGAAATCTGGTGGAGCATATAGCTCCCACATCTTTCTTTGGGTCCCTAGTGACTACTGTTGCCCCCCTCATAGGGCAACCCATAAGTGAGGCTACTCATACTTTAGCAGATCTGGGGGAGACTGAAACAATAAGGGCACAGAAGGAAGTATAGGCTATGACTGAAAAGAGAAGTGCAAAAGGCCCCCTGAAGGTCTTGAGGACCCAGATGTGGGTTGATTTAATAAAGGCTGGGGTAGTGAAAGAAAAACTTGATGGGCAGCTCAATAAAATCTTGTTAGAACTGTGGCACCAATTAAAGCCAGAGCAGCAGTTTCAGCCGCTGAGGTCCAAGACATGGAAACTAGAGTCAAGTCCTCATGCCCGGCCTGTGTCCCTGAAAAACTTCCTGAGAGACAGTATTCAGGATTCTGGTGAGCCCTCATCCCCACAGGAGGATAATGGGGCATCATGGTTCAACTGAAGCGGGGGTCAAAGTCCCCACCTTGGGGAACATGGTGTGGACCTGAAGTCACGTGTAGAATTAGCAATTCATTGGTCCCGTGAATGTACAATGTATCCTGGTGCTTGTGGACACAGGAGCTGAGTGTTCTCTGGTTTAAGGCAACCCTGAGCATTTTCCTGGGACCCCTGCTATGATAGATGGCTATGGAGGTAAGGCAATTAGAATGAAGAAAGCCCAAATCCCATTGCGGATAGGGTGTTTACCCCCAAAGGAGTATACTGTGTACATTTCTCCCATCCCTGAATATAGTTTGGGGGTAGATATCTTGCAGGGCCTGTGGTTACAGACTGCTGCAGGTGAATTCGGACTGAGGGTATGTGTGGTAAAGGCAGTTCTGAGAGGACATGCTAAGCACCCACCTGTAGCTCTGCCTGTACCTAGATGAGTGACAAATACTAAGCAGTATAAATTGCCTGGGGGACACAAGCAAATTGGAAAAACTCTACAGGAGTTGGAGAAGGTGGGCATCATAAAGCCCACTCATAGTCCTTTTAATTCCCCAGTGTGGCCAGTGAAAAAGCAGACAACTCCTGGCATATGAGCGTGGACTACAGGGAATTGAATAAAGTCACACCCTCTTTGCATACTGCCGTCACCTCTATGGCAGACATTCTGGACACCCTCAGCCATGAGGTGGGAATGTATTATTATGTAGTAGACCTTGCTAATGCTTTCTTCTCTATCGACATACCACAGGAAATCCAGGAACAGTTTGCCTTTATGTGGGAAGGCCAACAGTGGACATTCACTGTCTTTCCACAGGGATACCTCCACAGTCCCACCATCTGTCATGGACTTGTAGCCCAGGACTTGGCCACACGAAGGAAACCACAAGCGGTGAGGTTGTATCACTACATTGATGATATTATGCTCACGTCTGATTCTCTTTCAGATTTAAAAGGGGCAGTTCCTAGACTGTTGCAACATCTACAGGAAAAAGAATGGGCTGTGAAAAGCACCAAGGTTCAGGGGCCTGGCCTGGGTTGTCTGTAAAATTCTTGGGGGTTGTCTGGTCAGGTAAAACTGAAGTTGTGCCTGAAGCAGTCACAGACAAGGTCCAGGCTTTCCCCACCCATACTGTGGCAGTATTACAAGAATTTTGGGGTCTTTTGGACAATCATGGGGGCTACCCATGATTGGAACTATCTGTATACCAAGCATCTTCAGGAATAGGGGCTTTTTATCCCAGGAAGAGTGTTTATCCCACACTTGGCACAAATTCTAAAGCCCTTACACCGGTTGGTAAGAAAGGGAATCAGGTAGGACTGGGATGAGACACGTGCAGCTGCTTTTATTGCTGCCAAGTGGGCAGTCAAGGTTGTACAGGCCTTGAATGTAATGGACTCATCAAAGCCCTATGAACTAGATGTTCACGTAACTGAAGATGGTTATGAATGGGGTCTTTGGCAGTGGCTTGAAGGGACTGCCAAC